TTAACAGTCATACGGAATGCAAGCCTGATAGAAAACTGTCTTCTGTTAAGCTGAAAAGGGAGATTTGAATCCGAAGGCAAAAGTTCAGTACGTGGAATGAAAACTCTTGATCCAACATTCTGTTCAGAATTGACTTCGCAAAATAAAACGTTTCGCATAATTATATTCCCAATAAGCCCTGTTTCACTGCAGAATCCCACAGATGGATTTAGCTTTTGTAGAAGCGTAACTATAACTCCAAATTCAAATTAAGACTATGAGGTGGCATTCCAGAAGTCCTCAAGCTGTGTATAAAATCTAGCTGATACGTGTGTTGGTCTTCTTTATCATCACAAGTAAGCCAGTCTTCATAGTAGTGTGCGAAAACTTGACCTGGAAGTCTGGAGACAATTTAACTAAGTTTCAAAGCGTCTTCATTCCTTGGCCACAAAACTGGCAGAGTCTTGTAAGTCGAAGTCATTGCTGCAACCGAATAATTCTTCTACTATCGATCTGTTGACCACACACAAAAATGGAATTTCAATTTGACGTCTTCTTTCAAGGCACTGTCATTAAAAAAATATTTCAGTATGAATGAAATCCTTTCGAGTAAGGAGGATAGAATAAATGGAGTAAGTCTCCCGCGAATGTCTTGTGCAATGAAAACGAAACCATGAAACGTCACAGTATGACGTAACGACTCATCGTGGCTTCTACCGTAAGCAGATTTGTGGTTGGATTTGTTTACATTTGAATCGGCGTTTTGTACATGCTAATTATTCATCACTGAACGTTTATAAGTCTCTCGTTCTTATTTTAATATTTAAAATATTTTCTGCAAAGTTCATAGAAAAATCACAAGGACTGCAAATAACTCTTTCAAATTTAATAAAATCTAGGTACCTGAAAATGTGTAAATGGTAACTATGACACAAATGTATACATTGTAAAATTGTGGCTCGTTAAATTATTGCGATTCCTAAATGCTACCTAATTCCAAAATTTTAAACATTTAGTTGGCCCTTAATTTTGCTGGTCACACCGGCTCTGGCATCAGCTCTGATTAGATCTAGGCTAACGTAACTGCTGCCTACCCCCCTAAAAAAATCTGTTCTGCATGAACATTCATTTTTAAGGACTCGAATAATTCGATTAAATGAGTCTCTCTTCAAATTAGAAGGTAAATATTTAAAATTGCATGTGCGATTTAAGTTTAAAATAATAATTGTCAAAACGTTTGAATAGTAAAAGATCTAATAAAAGTCTTATAACTGCCATAATAAAAAAACAAAATCTAAATTGCATAAAAGTGAGCAGAATCCTTAGGTTGCTATCACACATCCGTTTGTTTCGGGAGAACAACTGTTTGGAACAATTTTTCTGCTTTGTCACAACAGCTGATCACCATAGGTCACTTTGGGATTAACACAGGGAAACTGGTTCTCCCAATTACAAACAAGCTGATAGCTGATTAATTGAAACGAACAACTTGCAATTTTTTTCAAAAGGAAGGAAAAAATCGTGCGTCTTTCTTTCAATACTAAACCAAGCAGAAATATTGTCCGAAACAGTTGTTCGTGTGAAATAAATGCGTATGTGATATGGGCCTTAAAAGTACTCAATAGAATCTCTGGGTTCTTTGAAATGCAGTTTAAATATTACTGTCTAAGAATAGTACACACGTAGTCTTAAAGACTACGAAATCATTCAAAAATTATCACCTAAATGTGTAGTTGAAGGTTAAAGGAATTATAGAATAATATTATTCCAGAAGATTGTCCTAAACTAACGTTAAATATGGATTTAAATACCCAAAATCGAAATATCCAAAATAAACGCCAGCTTGTGAATTCTGTCTGTATGTACATAAAAGAGGGCCTTTATCGCAGCAATGTAGCATTATCCTCAATACTGTTGTTTTGAATTCCCCAATATCCATTTTTCACTTTCGCTTGTTTTTATTACGTGAAAATAAAGGGCATAGAAATAAGAGATCTTAGCTGGTATACAGAAGTAAAGTAGCTCTAATAATAAAACATTTTTACGTTTTGATTGGCCAGTAGTTTGGTGGAATTGCTCTTAAAACAGTACGATTTTAATGTAATCCATCTTAGAAGAGTATGGATACAGTGTGGAATATTTTACACAGAACTAAAGGAACAATAAAATAGGAATCTAGAATTTCATTATCAAACAGTTTATTTCCGTATCTTTATTCAGGCTCTCATTTGAAGGCATCTAATTAACTAAACTTGGGAGTGAATTTTAAATTAGACTTTGCCAAGCAAATGTAATTTACATGTTCCATCCAAGTGCATTAAATTAATTTGCAGTTGAGGAATTTATTTTAAATAACGGTTTTAACTTCTATTAAGTGCTACATCATTTTGCTTTCTATTTCGTGTTGTAAGATTTTACTTTATTCTAACCATTTATTTTTAGTTGGACTTTACTGTTTCTCCTGATTTCAGTTTCCTGCCGAAATGTAAATTTTGTATGACATAGATGTAAATTTTAAACGTGTTTCAGAAGCAGTATTTAAGCTGCGGTTCAAGAGCAAAAGTAGTAGTAGCGGACTTAGTTCCGATGTTTATGCTGCGAATTTAAAATTAGCTCTCTGGTTCGGTGTTTGACACCTTTCAGTTTATACTGATATTCCTCGGGTCGGCTTTACTGTGTGCAATCGATTTAGCTTTAGTTTAAACTAAGGAGCTAGTCATTAGATTATCTTAATTTACTATTGAATTGTACATTCTTATTTTTTCTGTTACGTAGCGACATGTGGTGGTGATTTCTGAGCACGAAGTTTGTGCATCTGTTTTTAATTTGCATTTAATAAAACGGTTTTTTAAACCTTTCTTCTACAGTATTTTGTTCTTAAAGGCACAGCGATAATTTCGTCTTAATCTTCAACGTAGGGTTTAAGAGTGTATGTTCTCAAAGAATACACGCAAACTCTACAGTGTTTTCATTTTAAAAAGTAATATGTGTATACATATATTCCAAACATTCTTTTATTATAAATTAAAAGGTTAAAATTTTTAACATTAAATTTAAAGTGAATTTTAAGCCATTATAAAGTCGATTTAAAACCATTTAATTTCAGGTAAAGTGATATGCTTTTCTGGATTTAAAAAAAAATAAATAAAAATAAATCGTGTTAACATCTGTTTAATATTGTCCTTGAATAAACCATTATCGAAATTAGAACACACGACATGTAAATTTTTTTTTCCTTTGATATTATTGGCAAAACATTTCCTTCGCTTTCCACTTTCCCTATACAAACGTATCGGAGACAGGACTTTGTCTGTGTTTACCCAGCCTAAAAAGAACCCCTCCCAAATACGCCTCACGTGTCTGGAAGGGCCATCATTAGGGCTCACGTTGAAGTCTTCCCCTTCACCGTCTTTCTCCTCGAATCGACAAGAAAGGGAACATCGTTAGACTTTTCTTTGCTCGACAAACTTCAGGCCTGCTTTTGACTAATGACGCCGCCATTGCCAAAGCCAACATTTTCGTCATCTTCAAGCACTGACTGACGAGGTAGAACTTTTACAGGAGGACACGCACTCGTTGTTGGTATCTATCTCGTTCAATAAAGCAAAAAAGGGGTGGGATGGTAGGGTTTCCATTGTTGAAGAAATTCTGATGTCGTTGAGACTGCTTTATCCACTGCGTTGTGTTGCAGTTTGTTGCCATTTTTGATGAGGTGCTTGAGTTTGGGAATGAGACTTTTTTTGTCTTAAGTGGTTTGTTTCGTCAAACCGCAAGGTTAAAAGTGAATTTTGCACGTAAATGTTTCCTTGCATGTGTATCTTATGAGCGCTTATTTATTCATTTTTTAATCTCTCTCTTCATATTTATGTAAAAGAAGGTATCATATATCTAAACTCTGAATATTTGCAAATGTTTAGGTTTTTGCGAAGTAACTTTTGATGATGCTTTGCTAAAAGAAATCTTATTTTCTAGGCCTAATAGGAAATATAAAGTTATATGCATGTTATTCATACTCATTTATTTGAAATACACAAGATAATTTATCTTATAAATCATCGCTTTCTATCCATCGTAATACGTGAAAATGCTTCCCACTTAAGTTCTGCGCAGTATTTAGATAAATGTTATACAATGCATAATTCAGTGGTTAGCTAAAAGACACCATACTTAAAATATAATCGTAGCGTTTCCCATCAGATACCTTCAGTCAAATGTCATCGCTATTGCTAAATCAAAAATTCTTTTGTCGAATATTCATAAATTATATCTATTATTTGTAACCGTCTTATTAATATAATTTTATTGCATTTATACTAAAATAAGAATTTTTTCATAGACCGTATCGGTAAAAAACTCCAAAATTATATAGTCATTCTTCTTGAAACTTACTCTGTTTCATGTAAAATGTCCTGATGTTGACTTTCAATATTTAGAACACTAGATCTAAAAAATTGAACATCATAAATCTGTAAGACAGTTCGCGTTTCCATTAAAATTAATTAAAATTTGTTAATCTCTGTATCATTAAGATAATTGACAGAAAGGAAAATGTGCAGAAAATGGGTAAAATGCTAGAACGTTGTAATGGGAAGGCAGAAGACCAGAATTAACTTGGAGCGTGCTACAACGAAGATGTGATGACAACACAATAGTGATAACTGTATAAAACAGCTTTCGAGAGACGCATCAAACTGGTGCTGATGATTAAAACAAGCCAATGCGATTCAATCTTTCTGTGTGTGTGTTATGAAGACAAAGGCTGTAATAATTCCTGTAAAGAAAGAAATGAAAGTATGGGATATGTTGACAGTTCAACATTTCTTATTTGTAGACCGTATGGAAACTGAATTCCAGTCGCTAGCGAAGATTCAGAAGCAGTTTTAATTATGTAATAAATATAGTTTGATTGCATTTTCCAAATTAGAGTAATTTTATCTATTTTTGTTTAACTATGATAAAAGTGTTCTTCCTTTTCTTGTTATATTAGTAACTAGAAACTAAAAGATTTTTTATTTCTCTAGGTCGCTCCACGAGTACTGATGATTCTAGGAATAACTCGTTATCGGGCGAAGATACTTATGACGTTGTTCCAGATCTAAGCGGCGAATATGAATATCCTCAGTCGACGTCTGTCGATGATATCCGTCCCGGAGAAGAATATGATGAGCCCTGGGAATGGAGTGTGGGCGCACGGCTCACCAGCAGCCTCCAAGTGTCACCGTCCTCCCCGGGGGCATTATCCCTAGATACAACTGAAGACAGAACATACTCCGAACCGGCCGCTGGAGCGTCCAGTGAATCGCTTTTATCCGATTCGGAATCGTGCTGCGACGAAGACGAGATGACAGCACGGCAAAGACGCCTGTATGAGACAGCCTTCGACAGTCGCGTCAAGCGGGATGCTGATGATTTGGACAGGCTAATGCAAAGCCCAGTCCTGCAAGGTGATCTCTTCAATAATAGTCGAGCGGCTGGGGAAGGTGGACAAGTTGTAAGGGCAGCCTCTCGGTCATCTTTCGGTTCTACCAGTGGCAGTTCAGCTTCCAGCACTCCAACTCATCAACCCATGGTTATCGCTCGACAGTCGCCTCGTCAAAGACATCTACCGCTTCACTTTACACCCACCGAAAGGAGGAAAGTGACCCTTATTCGCGATCATCTGCCTAGGTCGTCTTCCCCTCAAGCACGACTCCTGAACACTGTTGAACCTAAAGGCTTCGTGCAAAGTGAACTAAACCGTAACGGGGCCAAAGTTGTGAATTCTAGTTACGAGCGTAAAATATCATTCAATAACCAATGGGATAATGTGTCCCGGTGTTCGTCAGACAAGAGCTCAAGCCAAGAGTCGATGAATGTTGTTGATCCGAAAGATGAGTTTAGGTTATCGTCGAACAACAGCAAAAACGAGCAGAGAAACTTTTTGCTTGCCAAGAGTGCCAGTCGTGACAATCTGGTATTTAGGGACGATCGACGAAATTTAACAGCTAGTTATCCGACCAACTGGAAGGAACTGACGAACGCGAAATTGGAAAATTCGAATGGTTATCAGAAAAATGTTCAAGACATTGTTTTCCAGAAAGATGACAGCCAAGATGATGGGATGTCCTTTGTTATGAAAAAATCAGCTAGTGGTCATACAGGTGTAAAGGTAAAAACAATTTTTTTTCTCGTTCTAAATTTTTTATCTAGTTTGAGGTTTTCTTATATATTTATTTTTATTATAAATTGCCTTTTTTACAGATATTTGTAATTTTTCTGTTCTATCTGTTTCTGTATTATCCATTCTTTCCTTACAGCGGTCAGTATGTTATTGACATTAAAAATTGTGCTATAATCTCTCTCTGTTTTATGATATTTTATCTTTCTTTTTTTTTTATTGAATATTTTCAGTTTTTAAAAAAGTGCTTCTTTTAAATGTTATTGCAACATATATTAAATGATTTCATATGATTTAAACTTAAATAATGATTATTTTAATGTTTCATCCCGTGTGCTTAGCCTTTGAGATATCATTTTAACATTCCATCTCAGGTAATAATTTGTTAATTACTTCTACTATAATTATTAATATTTAGTATTATTCTAATGCAGAAATTTAATATTTTTTAGATAAATTACACTTTAAATTGTTTGTTTACATTTTTGTTATTTAACTGAGATAAATTATTAACAATGTACTTTTTATATCATGTATGGTATACTAGCCGCTTCTCTTAAATTTAGCCTCGTAAAATAGTTTTTATAAAAAACAAAAAGTATGTAATCATTTTAGCGAGTCTAGGTAGTATAATTTCATAAGGTCCACCTAGTGTAATTTGCTAAAAATATTTGATGATTTTAATAATAAACTAATTTTTTTTAATTGCACAAAATTAAACAATCGTCCAATCCAACGATTCTAGTCTTAGATGCAATAGAAACTATGCAATAAGCTGTAATAAATACTAGAGCTGATTACATAATTTCTTACTGTAAAAAATTTTTTTAATTATGCTCCGAAAAGGACTGGAATGAAAGAAAATGCTTTAAAGCAATTTTTTTTTCTAGTAACAATTAAATGGGAAGAATAAAAAAAATATTAACTCATTTCTTTCAAATTTTCATTTATAATTTTCATATTATTTTTGGTATGTTCTTCTATTTTTAGTCTATATTTTCAGCACTGATGTTGGCTTAAATATGGATTTTTTTCTTTTCTTTTTTTTAAGTTGAAAGCGATCATCATTATATTAATTCTGCAGAAAAAATTTTTTCTCTCTCCATGTATTTGCAAAGCAACCTGACGAATCTTTCTAAAAGCATATCGAAAGTATCAAAGAACCTGAACGGTAATATCGTTAAGATATAGGATAAGGATAGACGATAGGATAGGGATAGATATCGTATAGACGTTATGAATGTCGAAGAATTTACTTTCGAATTATAACACGGACTCAATGAGGCTAGATAATTGCACCTAAAAGTTTCATATTGCAATAATAATAATTAGAAGAAGGATTTGTCTTCAAAAAATGAAAAAGGCAGTTATTAAAAAAAAAGACTATGTATCACTTATCAACCGTATGGCATTAGAAAAATATTTTAGAAATTACGCAGACACACACAATATCCTCCCAAAAAAGGATTCTATATTCGTCATGTGAAAATATTAAAATATTTTATAAATTACGCACACACACACCAATAAAAAAGAGAGAGAAGAAAGAAATTTGCAAGGATTCACATTTTAATGTCGCACCAGAGGATTTATTAAGGTTCCTTAAGCTCTCACTTAGCATGTATCGCAAGTTACCAATCTGCTCTTGGACGCTCTGCTCTTAACCTTTTTTCGTCTTTTTAGTATTATTATTAAGCATCGCTTTCATTTATTTATATTCGCTGTATTACTTCTTTGAAAATTAGCCACTACAGCGGCCAGCCGCCTTAAATAATTATCATAAAAAGTGAAAAAAGTGTATAATGATTTTAATGAGTCCAGCTAGTGTAATTTCACAAGAATGTTTACTATGTCTAATTAGTAATCTTATAGTTTAAATGCGTTTTTATTTAAATCAATCAGATTAATAAGTAGGACAAATATTTTTAAGAACTGATTGTATCACTTTTAAATCGATTAGTTTGTTACTCAGTAACCTTGCAGATTAAATCTGAAAATTAATTATCTTACTCTTCATTGAATGGCAACTCCTCGGTGTGTGGAGAAAATAAATACACTGCTGGCTATTAAAATTGCAACACCAGGAAGGAATGATCTGACGAACGTCAAAATCACATGAAAGGAAGAACAGGTTGGGATATGCTAATGATTAGTATTTCAGCGCATTTAGATGACACGGGAGGGACAAACGACATCTGCAACGCTGCATAAAAGAAACGTTCTGTAGTGGATTTCTCATTCGGAAAGTGCTTTGTAAGATTGGAGGTTCCTCAGAGAAACGTGCTATGCCTCGAATTAGGAGAGAAAATGCTTACCACAAGTTTCGAAATTCGACAGAGGCAGGATCATTGCGTATCCAAAGTGTAGATTAGTGTTCCGTGATATCGCCAGTCGCACTGGTCGACATCTGACCACTGTAATGCGAATAGGGAATCAATGGATTACTGAGGGTCATACTGAACGGCATGTTTGATCTCAACGCCCTTCCATGAATAACGCCAGAGAGGACAGACATATTGTGAGGTCAGTTCTTAAAACCGTACAACCACATCACGGAACTCTTATGGTTCGTCGACGTTTGCAACAGCGTGGACTATAAGCACGGCGATCGTTACTGCGCTTTCCCTTGACAATGCACCATAGAGAGAGACGGCGAGTCTAGTGCGCCAAACCACACAGCTGGATACAGGAGCGGCACAATGTCGTCATTTTAGACGAGTTCCGGTTCTGCATGCAGTATTCTGATGGCCATATACATGTCTGGAGGCTCCGAGGATACCGCATGTCGCCTGGTTGCATTCGATATTGGCATAGCGGCCCTGCACCTGTTGTGATTGGTTGGTTGGTAACGGAGGACGGGGACGCCTGATGTTTAGCAGAGGTAAACAGGCATATGTCCCGCGCTCTCGACTAACCAGGAACAACTCCCTGAGGCCTCAACAGGCCTCTTCGGAGCTTTCTAGGATCTTAACAAGAGCATTTAAATAGCCATGCAAGGGCAGATTGCATTTGTTTTACTGTTTTGACATTTGTTGTCGCAATTTGCTATGGTAATTTTGCATATTCATAATAAAATTCAAATAAAAATACAAATTAAAACTACAGTTACAAAATAATAGGATTAAAAAACAAACTCTTGCATATACAAAAGAGAAAACGTTAAATACATGCTGGAAACATTTGACTGTACAATTATTTGATAAATGTCTGTAATAGGGACTTATGTAAATTTTAGGAGTAGACTTAATGTGTCTGCGGATGTGGAACTACGTGCTGTGGGTACACGACATGCATATCTCCAGTTCGGATTGACGGTTATTTGAACGCAGATCGGTACATTTCTGACGTCTTACGTCCAATAGCTGTGCCCTATCTTCGAGGCCTTCCAAATACCATCTTCCAACAAAATAATGCGAGACCACATGGTGCACGTAGTGTTCTGACCTTCCTCGATACGCAAGGTATTCGATTGCTGGCCTGGCTTGAATGGTCTGCAGATCTGTCACCCACTGAAAACATCTGGTCATAGCTTGCTGAGAGACTGGCCCGCCACCGCCAGCTAATACGATTGATGAAGTGTGGCAGAGACTTGCAGCAGCATGGAATGAATTGTCCGTTTCTCTCATCTAAGCCCAGTTCGATTCCATGCCTAACCGGGTAAAGAGCGTTTTAGCTGTCAGGGGTGGCAGCTGTTCTACTGATTTCGCACTCCTGTAAACCCCCAAATTGCTTAGAGATTTAATCATTTTGTCTTCATGCCATACTGTTTACGTGCAATAAATATCTTTTTTGTATTTGCTTTCCTTCATGGTGTTGCAATTTTAATGGCCAGCAGTGTAATAAGTATGCTGCTTGAGGCAATGATAACACGTTGCTTTCAAGAAGCCAAATTGGCGGATTAAAATTAAAAGATCTTACATTTGCCGAATGGCAACAACTAGCGCGCGGGCAAAAAGTGTTTTATTTCGAACATTGTTACCACTTTTCCTTTTCAATACGCTGAGTTCATTAAACAAAAAATCGTTAAATTTATGCAATATATAATATAAATCAAAAACAAATGCTTGCGTCGAGGACTACTTGTACGAAAAATCAGTGGCTGTATGTACCGTCGTTTTACCACGATGCGAGGAACATACATACATATAGATCCTTCATTATTTAAAGTAATGCATTGCGATAGCATTTGGTGGCAAATGCATTGGAAGAGTTTCAGACACAAAATTAATGCGGAGAATAAGTGAGTTCGTAGACTAATAGACTGGTGCTAAAAAAAAATGAAAAATAGCCGAAAAAAAGCTATGAAATTATAAATTACGTATATCATGAATTAAAAAGCATTTTTATTTAATTCAATCAGATAAAAATGAAAACAAAATGTTATTTAAAATGTATTAATAAGAACTGTATTTATAGCTTTTATTTTAACTTCTTAATCAGTAACCGATAGATGAAATTTGAAAGTTAAATATCTTGCGGTTTGCCGAATGGCAACACAACAGCGCAGGGGTGATAAAAGAATTTTTATTTTAAACCGCGGCTCTAATAGCCAATGTTTTTCCGCAAAGGCAGAAACATACATACATCGACATGTGTCATTATTTAATAATATCGAGATATGTTGTGTTAACTGCATTTATGATGATTTAAATGATTTCGAATTTATTGATTTGTGCCAACAAAGATAAAATGGCTGCAATGATGCAGTTGACATCAACTCTCTTCTGTTGAATTCAACTGAATCATGCAGTTGACTTCAACTCACTTCTGATCAAAGAGTAATTAATTCGTTTTGTGCTAGTTTATTCATTGCAAGCGTGGTCTGTGGCGTTAAATAAACGACTGTGCTTTTGTAGTGATGCTTATGGAATTGCTTCAGAATTAATTCTTGAGATCGGCACTAGACATTTAGAGCGACATTGATTTTCTGAAGAGCTGAAGAGAACGGGCAAATCAAACATGATTACATCGTTCATCGCCGATGGCGTGTAGTGATGGTGATGTCACGCTTTTACCAGCCTTTTCATATAATGCCTGTAGATTCCTTGGTGAACAGAACTAAGGCTAAATAGAAAAGATGTAAAGCATTGCCTAACTTGAATTATTTTGATGAAATCTTTAGCTTCGCTGATAAGAGAGATCAAAAACCTTAAAGTATATCACTTCTATGTGTTTAAGCAATTAAAGTGAAAAATACCTTCACTTATCATGCTCCGTTAATTGACGTTGCGAGTATATTCCAAATAAGGGAAATATTTTCTAAATCTTTACTTTGGCAACATCATTTCAGTTCTTCCAAATCCATAAATGCCATTTAAGTGATATAAGCGGCATTCCTTCTTATTTGTCTTACATTTTCTTTACTTTTTAACAGAATCAAACAGGAAGAATTAAAAATTAGCAGACGATATATGATATATGCATTGTATGTATGTGTATACATGTATGTATGCATGTAATCAAGATATTATAATTAAATCAAAAGAGGTGGTTAATAGTCTAATAGGAAGTACATACATCAAAACTGGAACGATATCAAAGCAATTAAATAAAATAACAAATTGTTGAAAATTCATAGGTCTTTTCAAGGAGCAGTTGAAGAGAGGCATATTTTTTTAACTATATCTGGATGATTATAAATTCTTTAAATAATTCAAAATATTACCAAATAAAAAATTGAATTGAATTTATTAATTCAAATCCCTTAAAATGCAATAAGTAAAAATGTTTTTATTTTTTTAATTAAATTAATCATCTGGATATCATCTGTTCTAACATAAACCTAAAACAAAAAAAAAAAAAAAAAAAAAAAAAACAATCTGAAATGTTTCAGATTTTAAATTACGTCCAAAGGGGCGTTTTTTAACATTTTGTGTGTTACCTTTCTTTATTAAATATCATGTTCCTCGCACTTAAACCATAAGATCCAGTGCAACAGCAATATCGCAAAATAGTTTTAAAACGAGCATATCTTTAGAATTTCCGATACAGAGACTCACGCGCTGGAGATAAAAATGTTT